AATATAATGCTGGTGTATTTATTTCACGTATGATTTTACTAACTAGCTATGAAAAGCTTTTCCCAACAGACTTCGGTATCAGTTACTGATGTCCCTTCTATGCCTGTAGCTTTATAATAGTATATTTATAACCAATTTTAACTGCATTTTTTCATTCCTTATAGCTTGCCTGTTTTTCTTAGTACACACAAATATTATCAGAAATAATATATGGAAATAATAATATGGTACAACAGGCAATATAAAGAAAGCCGAGGCATTTCGTTCCATTTATTTCAAAAATATTTTTATTTTCGTGTGTTAAATTTTAAAAGGTAATGAGTCATATGAGTCCCATAGAATATGTATTAATATTAAACGATGCACCTGAATAATATTTAGGTGCAAAAACGCATTATTAAGGTCAAAATTTGTTATTGATCAGTAATGTAAATAATCATAAATAAATAAACATCATTTTTTGTTTTAATGGAAATATCACAATTAATGCCCGAATGCTCGACTTTAATATACCCTGTACTTGAAGTAATATATATCATTTTTTTAATATGAGTATAAATCATTGTTCCAGAGAGTATGTCTAAGACAATCGGTAGATGGCAATCAGTTTTCGTGCAACAATGTCAACGATATATACATGAAGATTATTTTATTATATATACATACAGTTATAAGCTAGAACTCTAAAATCAGGTATAACTAAATGCATCATTTTAATCGAATCATCAAGTACAATTTATTCAATTTTTACATTAATTTAATTTGATAATACTGTCACATATATTTTCAATATATAACTCTTCCGCCATCGGACCAATCATTCCCTAAACAATTGACGGAGTTCCTTCAAGGTTAATTATTTTATTTCAGTGTACTCTGCATCTTTTTAAGATCAATGTAAATAAATAACAAAACTGTTCCATTTTTTGAGCTGTGCATCTCATATTTATTTTTCGTAAGAAAAACAATAATTGCAAAAATATCTTAAGACACATCTGCTTAAACAATTACTTAACTGAGTTTTCAGCTATAAAAAGGCGTTCAACTGTTGCTGATTCAAACAGTGTCAATACTTTCGTATCAACAGCATCTGTTCTCCCGATCCAATGTTCAACGTAAAACTCTTGATTTTCTTCGCCGTGGTCCTCTGCGCGGCCCAGGATTGCGTGCTCGGCGAGTCTGATGTGGACCCGGACATCGATATTGACGAACCGGACAGTCCTGAAATAGAGAGCCTCTGCGCCAGATGCGGCTGTGGTAGATGTCGCTGCGCTTGCGGAGACCCAGCTTAACGGTAAACGCTTGAGAAACTAAAGTGAACATAACCTTAAAGTTCTTGAATACTTGCAGGGCAGAGAAGCTACCAAGTCAAAAAATATTAATTAATTGCAAATTGTTTTCCTTTTGTCATTAAAACTGTTGTTGCCTTTGAATCTAAGTGTTTTCTTTCACCAATCCCCCCAATATGTCGGGCTGCTCACCGCACCGTTCTTAATGCAGTACTTTGTGCGCTCAATTGTGAAGCTTTTGATGCTTCAATTCACAGAAAATCATTTTCATTGCATTGATCACTTGTTTATTCATAGCCATTCATTCGTTGGCAAAGTAATTTCTTTGCTCTTTATGCTCTATGCTTTCTTGACTTCACAGCGACAATCAGAAACAAAGCAAAAGTAATCATGTCCTACACCTTCTTCTTTGTTGCTGCTCCGTCGCTGCGCGTTTCTTTGTATACCCTATGAAGCTAAATGTGTGTGGGTATATTGTGCTTTTAAGTTGAAATATATATAGAATATACAAATTGTAGAGTTTGAATGAGATGATTAGAGTTTTATAAAACAGTTCGATATATGAGAGGACATTACAGAGGAGACTAAATTAAAAAGTTTAAAATTATGAACATACCAATTATGAAACAACAGCAATTAAAGGAAAGCATTTTTTTTTTTCTCAACCCAATTGTATTGTATTCACTTCTAGCGAACCCTTTCACAACTGGAGACAAATTTGAGCGACTGCAGAGGCTATTGTGAGTGTCGCCACAGGACATGTGGCATCTCCACCTAATAACCTTAAAAGCCTTATCGAGTCATTTAATATAAAAACAAGCAATTAAAATGATGAATATGCAATAAATGTGTATACACACATTAAAAAGGACAATTCTGTGCCCCAGCTATCCATCCATACATTTTATATGCTAATGAGTAGAACGTTTTTTATCTAAAAAGCAAAAAAATGCGGACACACATTTGCCTAATGAAAATAGCGCCATTAAAATGAGAAAAACAACTTTAGATACCGAAATTCGAAACACGCCGAGTTTTGGCAATTAAAATGCTCCGAGCAGAAGGTCCTGTCAACCTTCCACCCGAGCCGTTGCGTCCCGCTGACTTTGAATGTATACAAAGTGGGTGTACATGTGTGTGTGTGAGTGTGTGTGTGTATCGGACAACGATCGCCTAGCAAATTAGAGATTAACACGCATGTGTCATCCTTCTTGGGGTATTTTAGTTCATTGACCGCTATGCGGCGATAAAACTACTTAAGTTTCCAAAATTTTAACTGAGTGCCAAAGTCGCGGCCAGTTTTATAACTCTACGAATTAGAGCAATTTGATGAAACTATAAAACTGTCAAATCGCACTAATGCGCCGACTATGCTTAGAGAACTTGCTCTGGCGTGTGCTCAAAAAAAGAAAGAGGAAAAAGGTAACATAGATAGATAAACTGAGAGGGGGCGACCCCTGGCTAACCACGCGTCCTGTGTGCTCAATAAGCTATGACGAGTGCAAGCCACGCACGTTAGAAGTGCAGCTAGTCAAAGGCGCAGTGAGAGGGAGAGGGAGAGGCATAGAATAGGAAAGATAAGGTAGAGCAAAGGTGCAAGAGAAATACATGTGTATACTTACTCTCAGCAGCATAGTGAGGGAGGGCAAGGCAGAGCAGAGCGAGGGACGCCCTCGGCTGGGTGTGTTGCATCTCTCAATGCCAACATAACATATTAATTAAACTGCCCACGAGCCTATGCGCCTGTCAGACTGCCAGTCAGTCAGGCTGTCAGTCAGGCGGTCGGCCAACCCGCTGTCAGCTGGAGGTCAACTTCGGTCAGTTGCTTAATTATGTTACAAGCTCCGCGCTGCCATTGTGATCTATAATTAAGTTTAATTATATTTTGCATTTTGAAATTATTTATTTGTTTTTCGTATTGCAGCCATTTAATTTGATAATTGCAATTACGTGCGCACTCAACGCATGCCGCTCGTTAGCCTAGCTGATGGGTTAATTGGCCTTTAATGTCTGGCAAATTGTCTGGCATCCCATTTAACGGGGCCATATTATGGGCCTATGACGTATATAAATACGTAATCGGTATGTTAATTTTCCCTGCAACAATTGTGTTTCATTTGCCCATTGCAATTTTATATATGGCTATGGATCACAAATGAAATTCTTGTATATGCCGTTGGATCTGAAAGTTTAGCTCTGGAACTATTATTTGAATGCTCTTATCGATAATGTAAGTTGTATAGAGTAGTACTATTTATTCTTTTAGATCTTATTATTATTTATTTCGCTTGTTGATTATATACTTTGTATAATGAAGAGCAGAGTCACACTAGAAGTGATAAGGGAACTAATCTTAAAATGAAGCCAATAGCCTCTCTGGGCTTATCAATGCTCGCTCTCTCCCTAGTCTGTTCTGAAACCGAGGTGTTCCTACTATAGCGCCTAGCTATGGGGAATGCTGAAATAGCAACATTGCATTATCCAGAGAGCACAGTCGAAGATCTTGAGAGCCATTGCCGCAACACTACAGTGTTATTAGAGAGAATTAAACACTCTATCAGTCAGTGAGACAATACTGGAACAAAATGAAAAACATTTTGGCAAATTCTTATCATACCCTAATCAACTTATGCCATTGCTTCTTCATTGAAAAATTTTTTACTATTCAACGAAAAATATCAAAATAATATTCTTTAATTTCAGCTAATTAATCATCATTGTGGAATTTACTTACTATTCAATGAAAAATATCTAAATAATATTCTACGATTTCAGCTAATCAGAGTTCAACCTTATTCAAGCTGCCCTGCATATAAAATTTCTAAGTGTGTGTATAAATATTTAAATTATAGATGACAAAGAATGTAATATAAATGCGAAAAAAACTCTAGTCAAACTACTTTGAATAAAGGATATTATATATATTTATTTAATATATATACTAATTTCAAATTGATAGCTTAACCAGTCGATTTGGCCTTGCTATAAACTGAGCACAATTAATAAATGTTTATATGTCCATTAGTTAGCTAACTATCTAAATATTTGACAGCGTGTCAATTGTTGAAATCAGAGCACCGAATTAGCATCATCAATTCGGGCGAATGTCTCTTGGCCACTGGCTGAAGCCAAATAAAATCGTTGAGTGGCATTGAGTAAAATAAAATTGATTGATGACGCAGCATGTATGTATGTATGTATGTATATATCCAGCACTTTGATAGATTGCTGACTCTGGCGGACGGTTGGGTTGTCGGTCGCCTGCAATATCCGAACAGCAGGCAAAGTGTCAAAGTGTAATCAGGGCCGCGTTAACGCCAATACAATGCCAACAATATTATCATTCTCAATCTCATGGTTATCCTCGGCATC